CCCCCTCATCCCCTCCAAAGCCCAACGCCGCCGCCCGCATCCCCCTTTCCCACCGCCCCCATCCCCGCCGCTCCATCCCCGCGGCCCCCGCGGTAGCCCCCCGCCCTCAGGCCCTCACCGGAGCTGCGGCTCATGCGCTTCTCCCACCCCGCGGGCAGCTTCTCCTCCTCCGCCATCTTCCCTTCCCTCTGCCCGCCCTGCGCGACCCGCCCCCACTGCCGCGCCGAGGGGCGGGCAAACCCGCCCTTTTCGCGCTTCCATTGGTCGGCGGGGACGCCGTGCCCTTAGCCGCGCAATTTTATTGGCGGAGCGACCCATCAATCAGGCGCGCGGTGAAGCCGAGAAGCGCGCGGGAAAGGAGGGACTGTGGCCGTGAGTGGACAAACTTAACCGGAACGCAAAGACGCACCGCCGCCGCCACCGTTCCCGGTTAGGGCGTCCCGGTGCCACCGGAGCCACGGAATAACCGAAGATTTCAAAAGCAGCTTTATTTTCAATAAATTTAACGCTCCAGAACGCGCGCGCCCGCTTTAAAGCCTCAGCTTAGCGCCGGTTTGGTCACAGAGGGGATGGGAGGGGGAGAACTGGGGGTGTGGAGGAAAACGGGGAACACCGGGAGAACCGGGGGACACCGAGGGGACGCAGCAGCCGCTCCTGGTCGTTCATCCCTGTCCTGGATCTCATCCGCAGTAGGGATTAAGGCCCACGGGGGGAGGGTTGGTGCGTTTGAGGTGGGGGGGGGACAGGGGGGCGAGGGGTGCGGAGCCTCCCCGGGACCGGAGCCTTCCCGGGACCCCTGAGGGGCCTCCCGGTACTTCCTGAGCCCTCCCGGTGCCTCCAGAGCGCCCCCGGTACCTGCAGGCCACCATTGTGGTGGGCCCGGAAGTGACACTCTGATGTGAAGGAAGTGACGTCACGCCGAGTCCTGGCCGCCCGAAGCGTTGCCTGGCAACGGCGTTTGTTGTTAGCAACGGCCAAGATGGCGGCAGGAGCGGCCTGCGCCCCCCCACGGGTGGGTACTGGGGGTTACTGGGAGCTACTGGGAGCTACTGGGGGGGGTCTTTGGGTGCCGTGGGGGGCTCTGAGGGGTCACTGGGGACAACGGGGACTGGGAGGGGACAAATGGCGCCCAAAGCCACCTGGCGTCGCCTTTTCCCCCGCTCTTTTCCCGCCTTTTCTCTTTTTTCCCGCCCTTTTTTCCCGCCCTTTCTCCCGCCCCTCCGGGACCTGGCGCCATTTTGAGCCAGGATTTTGATTCAAAGGGAGGGGGAAAATCCTTGAAAATTCCCCAAAAATCCCCCCAGAAGCCACCAAAATTCAAATAAAAATTCACCAAAGTCCCCGAGATTCGAAGAAACATCGCCCAAAATAAAAAAAAAATCGTCTAAATAAATAAAAAGCCCTGCAAATGCACAAAAATTTACAAAAGATCCCCCAAAAATCCGCAAAATTGAAAAAATACCCTGCAACCCAAAAATAACCCATAAAGATCCAAAGAATCCATTAAAATTAAAAAAAAAAATCAGAACAATCCGTAAAAATTATTAAAGCCTTTCAAAAATCCACAAAAAAAATCCATGAGAATCCCACAGAAATCCCCCCCAAAAAAAACCCTAAAAATTCAATTTAAAAATTAAAAAAAAAAAAAAGAAAAAGAAACCCATTAAAAATCCCCAAAAATCCTTAGATGAATGGGGAGGAAAAAAACAGTTTTGATTTCTCTGGAATTGGCTCCAATCCAAGCTCTAACATCCAACCCCAAAAATTCCTTGGATTAAATTTTAACCCTCTGCAGGGGGAGGGGGAACCGGAACATTCCCAGGATCATTCCCGGAGCGCCCCCGATCCGGAAAATCACAAAAAAATCCCCCCAAAAATCCCAGGATGGACGAGGAGGAGCTCCAGGATGACCTGCGCCTCTTCCCAGGTGGAATTCCTGGATTTTTCCTGCTTTCCCCAGGGTTTTTCCAAGGGCTTTTCCTTCCCTCCTCCTCCCCTGATCAGGGAATTTGGATAATCCCAAAAATTCCACTCCCGGGAGCTTCAAATTCCTGAGAATCCCGGGAGGAAATCGCGGGAATTCCCAAAAGAATCTTGGAAATAATAGGGAAATTATTTTAAAAAATAATTCCCCGGTAATCCCCTAATTATTCCCAAAGAAAATCCTTAAATAATTCCCAAAGTGATCATTGGAACAAATGATCCCAAATAAAATAATCCTTGAATTCATCAGGAACAAATCCTTGAATAATTCCCAATAAGAGAAGCCCAAATCCCGGGAATTATTCCCAAATTTTCCCCTCTTGGAGGCAAACTTGGAGCATTCCCAGTTATTGATTAACCCCTGGACAAACAGAGCAGGAAAACCTGGGGGGAAATCCTGGGAAGAGCAGGGCGGGATTTTCCTTGGATTTTTCCCTCAATTTTCCTGGATTTTAATGCATTTTTCCCAAAATTTCCCTGGATTTCTCTTCATTTCCCCTCCATTTCCCCCCTGATTTGTTGGATTACCCCTGGATCTGTTGGGTTTTCCTCTTTTCCCCATTTTCCCCCAGTTTCATCCCATTTCCCCCTTGTTTTTCCCATTTTATCCACTTATTTCCCATCTTTCCCTGATTTTCCCTGATTTTATCCCATTTCTTTCCCATGTCTCACCATTTTGTCCCAGTTTCCCCAGTTTCTCCCCATTTTTCCCCATTTCTTCCCATTTCATCCCTGTTTTTTCCAGTTTCTCCCCATTTTATCCCATTTCTCCCCTGTTTTTCCCCATTCTATCCCTGTTTTTTCCAGTTTCTCCCGTTCCCCCCGTTTTACCCCATTTTCCCAGTTTTCCCCCCATTTTATCCCCATTTTCCCCCCGTTTCCCCCCATTTTATCCCATTTTATCCCCATTTTCCCGTTTCACCCCATTTCCACAGCGTTCCCAAAATCCCACAGTGCTCCCAAAATCCCACAGCATTCCCAAACCCCCCCCATCCCAAATCATTCCCAAAATCCCCCCATTCCCGGAATCCCCCCCGTCAGAACTCCCCCCACCCCAAATCCCAGAATTCCTCTTCATTCCCGGAATCCAGGCTGGGAAATTCACCCGGATTCCCGCCCATCCCAATTCCCTGAGTTCCCAAATCCTTGAATTCCCTCGATTCCCCCTCACTCCCGTCCATCCTAATTCCTGGATTTCCCTGAATTCCCATCCCAAATCCCTGATTTCCCTCATTCCCAAATTCCCTGAATTCCTTCATTCCCATCCTAATCCCCAAAAAAAAAACCCCAAATTCCATCTGGAATTGGGGTGGGACATTCCCAAAATCCCCAAATCCTGGGATACGAAGGGTGGGAAATACCCAAGAAAAAAAAAAAAAAAAAAACAGAATTCCAATTTTTCGGGAATTTTCCCCACTTTTTCTTTCCCCCAGTTTCCTCCATTTCCTCCAAGCTCCACCAGGAGAATCCGAAGTGGAATTTTTCCAGTTGGGATTCCTTCCGTGAGTCCCAAAATTCCCTGAATTTTCCCCTTTTCCCTCTGGATATTCCAACGCTTGGGGGATTCTGGGGGGAGAGAATTCCCGGATCCCAAAATCTGGGCGATTTTCTTCCCGGGTTGTTCCCGCAGTGTTCCCGTGCGGGGCGGATTCCCGGGAATGGGAATATTTCTCTGGGAATTGTTATTATTTCTCGCTGGCGCGGCTGAGCTGGGAGCGGGCGCGGGAGCAGTGCCGGGAGCGCCGCGCCCGCCTGGCCGTGGTGGGCAGCTTCGCCGAGCAGGTGACCCCTCCGAGGGAAACTGGGAATGGGTCGATGGCACCGACTACAAATCCTCCTTCACGTGAGCCCCGGGTCCCCAAGTCCCGGGATTCCACCCCAAAGTTGGGATTTGGGGTTTTTTTTCCCATAAAAATCTCACAAGTTTGAGGGAAATTGGGATTTTCCCCCTCGGAAATCCCACAAATTTGGGGGGAGGTTCTTAGAATTTTCTCCACAGAAAACGAGGCAAAAAAAATTAGGATTTGGGGATTGTGGAGTCCAAATGTTGGAATTTTGGGAACTGCCTCCCAAAAAATCCTCCAAATCTTGGCATTTCGGAGAATTTCTCTCCCTCAATATTGCAATTCCGGGGAATTCCGCTCCCCGAATCTCGGGATTTTGGCGGAATTCTCCCCCCAAAAATGGGAAATTTACTGGGGACGTTCCGACCCCGCCCTTCCCATCCCAAATCCCGATTTTTTTCCCAGGTTTTGGCGGGAGGGGGAGCCCAACGACAGCGGGAATAACGAGGATTGTGCTCACCTCTGGATCTCCGGGAAGTGGAACGACGTCCACTGCACCTTCGAGTGCTTCTTCGTCTGCGAGCGCCCCCTTTCCCAAAAATCCCCTTTTTCCCACTAAAACCCGGGATCGCAGTTCCCAATTTCCCCGATTCCCCCTCCCCCCATGGAATTCCCGAAAAAAAAAAAAACGGGAATTTTTTAAGCGGAATAAAAGGAGATTCCTGCTCTGCTTTGGGCGAGTTTGGGATTTTCCTGATTGTTCCTGAACTTTCCTGGCGTTTTCCCAGAAATTTGGGGTGGGAGATTCCCGGGGTTTTGGTGGTTTTAAGGTAAAACTCTCTGGGGATTCAGGGATTTGGGAATTTTGTCGGCCCCATTCCCAACCTTCCTTAATTCTCCCTAAAAATCAGCATTTCCCAAACTTTCCCCTATTTTTTTCCCTATTTAATTTGGATTTTCAGGGGAAATTTCCCGGAATTTTGGTGGATTTGGGGATTCAGGTCCTGCTCCTTGGGAATTTGGGGAGTTTTATCCTCCCCGTACCCCTCCAATTCCCTCTGGATTTTCCCCCAAATCCTTCCGGATCCCAAATCTCCCCAATTTCCCTCAGTTCCTTCAGGTTTGGGGGTGGAATTCCCGGCGTTTCTGAGTTCGGAAATTATCTTCTTTTTTTTTTTTGGGGGGGGGTTGGTGGGGAATTCCCATTCTCGGAGGGGAAGAAACGGGAATTCCCAAAAAAAACCCCACGGGAATTCCCAAAAAGAAGGGAATTTTCTCCCCACGCCCCCGTGCGCGCCCCCGCCCCTCCCCTCCCCCGGGAGCGCGCACGGGCGGGGGCAGCGCCGGGCCCGCTGTCGGTGTCGCTGTCGCGATCTCGCTGTCGGTGTCGCTGTCGCGATCCCGCTGTCGCGATCCCGCTGTCGGTGTCGCTGTCGCGATCCCGGTGAGTTCCCCGCGGTGACGCCGGGGGTCCCGTCGGGGCCGCCGTGTCGCGACAGTCGCGATGGGCGCGGCCGGGGTGAGCGAGCGGCACCGGGGACGGCGCCTCCCGCTTCTCCCATCCCGGGCTCTTCCCGCTTTTCCTCCGCTCCCATCCCGGATTCTTCCCGCTTTTCCCCCGCTCCCATCCCGGATTCTTCCCGCTTTTCCTCCGCTCCCATCCCGGTTTTTCCCCGCTCCCATCCCGGGCTCTTCCCGGTTTTCCCCCGATTTTCCCCCGTTCTCATCCCGGCTTTTCCCCGTTCTCATCCCGGTTTTCCCCCGTTCTCATCCCGGTTTTCCCCCGCTCCCATCCCGGTTTTTCCCCGCTCCCGTCCCGGGCTCTTCCCGGTTTTCCCCCGATTTTCCCCCGTTCTCATCTTTGGGGATTCAGGTCCTGCTCCTTGGGAATTTGGGGAGTTTTATCCTCCCCGTACCCCTCCAATTCCCTCTGGATTTTCCCCCAAATCCTTCCGGATCCCAAATCTCCCCAATTTCCCTCAGTTCCTTCAGGTTTGGGGGTGGAATTCCCGGCGTTTCTGAGTTCGGAAATTATCTTCTTTTTTTTTGGGGGGGGGTTGGTGGGGAATTCCCATTCTCGGAGGGGAAGAAACGGGAATTCCCAAAAAAAACCCCACGGGAATTCCCAAAAAGAAGGGAATTTTCTCCCCACGCCCCCGTGCGCGCCCCCGCCCCTCCCCTCCCCCGGGAGCGCGCACGGGCGGGGGCAGCGCCGGGCCCGCTGTCGGTGTCGCTGTCGCGATCCCGCTGTCGCGATCCCGCTGTCGGTGTCGCTGTCGCGATCCCGCTGTCGCGATCCCGCTGTCGGTGTCGCTGTCGCGATCCCGGTGAGTTCCCCGCGGTGACGCCGGGGGTCCCGTCGGGGCCGCCGTGTCGCGACAGTCGCGATGGGCGCGGCCGGGGTGAGCGGCACCGGGGACGGCGCCTCCCGCTTCTCCCATCCCGGGCTCTTCCCGATTTTCCTCCGCTCCCATCCCGGATTCTTCCCGCTTTTCCCCCGCTCCCATCCCGGGATCTCCCCGCTTTTCCTCCGCTCCCATCCCGGTTTTTCCCCGCTCCCATCCCGGGCTCTTCCTGGTTTTTCCCCGATTTTTCCCCGATTTTTCCCCGCTCCCATCCCGGTTTTTCCCCCGTTCTCCTCCCGGCTTTTCCCCGTTCTCATCCCGGTTTTCCCCCGATTTTCCCCCGTTCTCATCCCGGTTTTTCCCCGTTCTCATCCCGGTTTTCCCCCGTTCTCATCCCGGTTTTCCCCCGCTCCCATCCCGGTTTTTCCCCGCTCCCGTCCCGGGCTCTTCCCGGTTTTCCCCCGATTTTCCCCCGTTCTCATCCCGGTTTTTCCCCGTTCTCATCCCGGCTTTTCCCCGTTCTCATCCCGGTTTTTCCCCCGCTCCCATCCCGGCTTTTCCCCGCTCCCGTCCCGGATTCTTCCCGCTTTTCCCCCGTTCTCATCCCGGTTTTTTCCCCGTTCTCTTCCCGCTTTTCCCCCGTTCTCATCCCGGTTTTTCCCCCGCTCTTCCCGCTCCGATCCCCGCGCGTTCCCGGTTTTTCTCCTCGCCGCTCCCGGTTCCTGCCCGGTTCTCCCTCGCTCCGCTCCCGCTCCCATCCCGGGCTCTTCCCGCTCCTTTCCTTCGCTCCCATCCCGGTTTTTCCCCGCCGCTCCCATCCCGGCGCTTTCCCGGTTCCTCCCCGCTCCCGTCCCGCGTTTCTCCCGCTCCCATCCCGCTTTTCCCGCTTTTTTCCCGTTTTTCCCGACCTTTCGTCTCCCCCGCAGCCGCCGGGATGAAGCCGGAGGAGGCTCCGTCCTGCCGGGAGCAGGGAACGCCGCTCCCGGGAGCCGGTGAGTACCGGGAATTCCCAAAATTCCCTCCCGCATCCCCAAATTCCCGGCATTTCGGGATTTTTTTCCCCATCCCTGGGTCCCTTTTCCCGTTTTTCCCAGAGCTTTCCTCTTTATTCCCGTTTTTTTCCGGGCTCCAAATCTCCCCCTTTTCCCAATCCCGTTTTGGGGTTTTTTTGGGGGTTTTTTGGTTTTTTTTGGTTGTTGTTGTTGTTGTTTTGTTTGTTTGTTTCTTTGTTTCTTTTTTAATGCAGAACGTGGTTTTTGGGGTTTTTTTTGTTTTTTTTTTTTCATTTTCCCGGGCTGGAATCCAGGATTTTCCCCGGGATTTTTCCCTGATCCCACATTCCCAGGAATTCCCGAAAATTCTCCTTCATTCCCTCTTTAATGATTCCCGGTTTTCCCCTCTAAATTAACCAGCAATGAGGATTTTAAATCCTTAATTTTACACTGCGGTGGGGGGGCGTGAAAAATGTGGGGAATAACCTCAGGAATGGGATAAAAATCCTTGGAAAAGCCCCGGGAATTTGAATTTGGAATTCTGGGGTCCAAATTGGAGCTGGGCTTGGAATTTGGGAATTTGAATTTGGAATCGAAATCGGGATTGGAATTCCAGAGCCCAAATTAAAACCGGGGTCAAAATTCCAAATTAAGTTGGGCCTTGGGGGCTTGCCTCATTCCCATTTTTCCCGGGATTTGGGCAGAAGAAACCCGGGAATGGCCTCGGGAGGAGGAGGAGGAGGAGGAGGAGGAGGAGGCGCTGCCAGAGAAAAGTTGGAATTTTTCCCTCCCTCCCTTCCCTTTGAGGAGCAGCCAGAGATGAAAGTTGGGATAAAAATGAGGGAGAAAAACCAAATTCCCAAAAATCCGGAGTGAGGAAAAAAGCTCTGAATCCCCTGGATTCCTTCCCAAAATCCCCCAAATTCTTCTTTTTCTTTTTTTTTTTTCCCATGGAAAAATATTCCTTTGGATTTCTGGGAGCTCCCCATGGAATTTCCTTGATGTCCAAACCCGTTTTTCCTGGGTTCTCCCATTTTTCCCCCTGAATTTCCCTGTTTTTTTCCTAAATTCTCCCACTTGGTTTTCTTCCAAAATTTCCCATTTCCCCCCCCCCCCGATTTTTCCCATTTTCCTCTCAAGCAGTCCCATTTTTCCCTAAATTCTCCCATTATTTCCCAAATTTTCCCCTTTTTTTCCCAAATTTCCCTAGTTTCTCCCAGATTTTTCTGGATTTTCCCCCAAAATCTCCCTTCCCCAGGATTTTCCCACACTCTCCCATTTTCCCAGGATTTTCCCCCAAACTCTCCCATTGTTTTTCCCCAATCTCTCAATTTCCCTGGATTTTCCTCATACTCTCCTGCCTTTTTTCCCCCCATCTCTCCATTTTCCCGGATTTTCCCCCAACCTCTCCCATTTTTTCCCCTCATTTCCCCAGTCTCTCATTCTCGCTGTTTCCCCCCAATCTCTCAATTTCCCTCAACCTCTCCCATTTCCCCAATCTCTCATTTCCCCCAGTCTCTCCATTTCCCATTTTCCCCCCTCATTTTCCCCAATCTCTCCATTTTCCCCCCATCCCTCATTCCCCAATCCCTCCATTTCCCCAATCTCTCCATTTTTCCCCCTCATTTTCCCCAATCTCTCATTCCCCCATCCTTCATCCCCAATCTCTCATTCCCATTTCCCAATCCCTCATCCACCAATCTCTCAATTTTCCCCAATCTCTCATTTCCCCAATCTCTCTCATTCCCCAATCTCTCTCAATTTTCCCCAATTTCTCATCCAATCTCTCTCAAATTTCCCCAATCTCTCTCAATTTTCCCCAATCTCTGATATCCCCAGTCTCTCTCTCCATTTCCCCAATCTCTCTCCATTTCCCCAATCTCTCAATTTCCCCAATCTCTCTCTCTTTTCCCCAATCTCTCTCAATTTCCCCAATCTCTCTCAATTTTCCCCAATCTCTCTCAATTTTCCCCAATCTCTCTCAATTTTCCCCAATCTCTCATTTCCCCAATCTCTCTCCATTTCCCCAATCTCTCTCAATTCTCCCCCACCTCTCTCCCGCCCCAGGCTCCCCCCCGCCGCTGCCGCTGCCGGTGCCGCTGCCGGTGCCGCTGCCGGTGCCGCTGCCGGTGCCGGTGCGGTGCGCGGGCTGCGGCCGCGGGATCCGGGACCGCTTCCTGCTGCGGGTGAACGAGCGCTCGTGGCACGAGCGGTGCCTGCGCTGCTCCGAGTGCGGCCGGGGGCTGCGGGGCCGCTGCTTCAGCCGCGAGCGCCGCCTGCTCTGCGGCGCCGACTACGACAGGTCAGTCCTGCCCGCCCGCCCTTCCCACCCTTTCCCCCTTTTTCCCCCCGTTTTCCCCATTTTCCCCTG